ANGAGCCGAAGTGGCTCAGTGGTTAGGGGTGCAGTACTGCAGGCCACTTCAGCTGACTGTTATCTGCAGTTCAGCGGTTCTAATCTCACCGGCTCAAGGTCGACTCAGCCTTCCATCCTTCCGAGGTGGGTGAAATGAGGACCCAGACTGTGGGGGGCGATATGCTGACTCTATAAAACTGCTTAGAGAGGGCTGAAAGCCCTATGAAGCGGTATATAAGTCTTAACTGCTATTGCTATTGAATATTCGGGGGCGAAGGAGACAGAACACACACACACACACACACCACAGCGCCATTCTTGGATTCTTGGAATAGATATTCAGGCCTTGAATCTGTTTACGCCGTGGCATTTCTGCCCACTGCAGCTCATGGCAAAGTTGCCATTCCACCCTACCCATTTGGATAGGCTCCAGTGCTGCCAGCCAAAAAGCAGCCGGATGTGATGAACTGAAAGATTCTTCCCTTGGCAACTACTCCTGCCGAATGCGCCGTGCCTCCTGGTGACATTTGGAGTTACTATGGACACCCGGGCGTGCTTGGCAGCCTTTGCCACCTTTTACCCAGACACCCATTTCTAACCTTCCCCCAACTTCTCTCCTTCCCAAATGAAAGTCAGAAGATTTCCTGGTCGAAATCTTGTGCAACTTCACTTGAGTTACAACTATTAGAAGAGGTGCGATGCTGTGAAAGGGTGGACCATGCGAACCACGTTGATTATTGGGGTCTTCCTAACGGCCGTAATTGCCTGCCGTGGTTCAATGCTCTTGTTGCTCCATCGGGGTACGGCCCATGGGGTTGGAGGCTACCCTTTCCGATGCCAAGGGCTGTGAACACCACCACTACCAAAAAGACAGAAAAAAAGATTTTGAGGATGTGGAGCAAGGAGCAGAAGGGTGGGGTCCTCGGTGCTCTCCTGAGTGTGTTTTCTTGCAGACGTTTCATTACCAAACTAGGTAACGTCATCCGTGCTAGGGTCTGCAAGGCGCTATGGCTCAGCCAGGTCTAGAGGGACAGAGGTTCCTCTTCTTTCTTTTATTTATTTATTTAGTTTGTCACTCATGTACAGGAATAAGAATAAACATGAATAAGAAGACAGGAAATGGGTACAAATAAATGGGGACAGTAAGTTAGGGACGGTAGGCGCACTGATGCGCTTATGCACACCCCTACAGGTAAAGGTTCCCCTCACATATGTGCTAGTCATTCCCAACTCTAGAGGGCGGTGCTCATCTCCATTTCAAACCCAAAGAAACAACGCTGTCCGAAGACGCCTCCGTGGTCATGTGGCCGGCATGACTAAACGTCGAAGACACACAGAACGCTTTTACCTTCCCACCAAAGGTGGTCCCTATTTTTCTACTTGCATTTTTACATGCTTTCGAACTGCTAAATTGGCAACAGCTGGGACAAGTGACAGGAGCTCGCTCCCTTATGCGGCGCTGGGGATTCGAACCGCCAAACTGCCGACCTGTCTGATCGACAAGCTCAGCATCTTAGCCATCGCTTCGCAGCAGCACGTGGTTCGCTCCGACGTGACTAAAAACCAAGTTACTAAACCAGCTGTGGCTCCAGAGGGTGGATGCGACCCAGAAGGTTTCAGATGTAAAGGCCAAACATGGCTTGAAGTGGAAGGGAAGGGAAGAGGCACTCTAGCCAGGACGCAAGGAAGGGGGTTCAGAAATTCAGGCATGCTGGATGGATAATACGATGCCCTGATGGTTTTAGGAGAGCAAACAGATGTTCTGAGATCATTCCTACTGCGGTATGAGGTGCATGGGCCTGCCCTCCATGCAGCTCCCTATTAGCATCTGGATTGCAATCCATGCTGTTTTAAACCATGAAGAGCGTTGGGAAAAATGCGGAAGGGGAGTCATTTTTGCAAAAGGCTTCCAAGGACAGGCAATCAAACAAACCCTCTTTATTTTAAATGACAATACTGTATGGAATTCCCAACAGAAGGTTGAGGGTGTTTGGGGGGGGGGAGAAGAGAATGTGAAACAGAACAAAAACGCAAAGCAGATTTATTTTTTTCCCCTCGTGAATGTCCTCTTTCCTCCCCCTGCCCGGTTGCCTCTTCTGCAAAATATAGCCTTTGTTCCCATGAAGGGAAAATAGATTTACCTGAATGATAAATGAATGCACTCATGTGGGCATCGGAGATTCCTAAGGCAAGCAATTTCACTGCCAGGAAGCAATGCAGCCCCCCCCCCCCATGTTAAGTATCTCTTCCTATCTTTATACAACCTGGGTGCTAAGCAAGCAGCAGCCGTTTGAAAATTGGCAAAATTAAAAGAAAACAGGGTGGGGTAGTGAATCCTGCAGCAGGCTGGAGGCTGGACTTAATGACCTCTTAGGTCCCATCCGACTCTGATTCTACAAAAACGAAATCAACAGGATCTTAACTTACCCCGGAAAAATACTAATTTATTTTTGCTGCTTTCCTAACACATATTTTTACATGGGTTTTTTTTCTGGATTTTTAGCCACAGGATCAAAGTTTTAGGTGGATGTGCCTTCAAAAAGAGATCTTCCCGAGTTCTGGATCGCCCTGAGCCCCAAGGAGCGATCAATTCACTGCAACAGATTCCACTTGCCAGATTCCTCGGGAAAACTTACAAGCTGATCCCATCTCCCTGGGAGAGGCTTCGTATTCTTAGGAGGCCTCAATTCTCGATGTAATCAGGAAGCAGGTTGATCTAGCAATTTTGGAGAAAATTATATATCCATCAGAAAGTGTTAACATCATGGTTGCTTCGGGCAAACAAAAATAAATAAATCTTAAGTTTGTTGAATACTAAAGTATTCATTTCCTTTTTTTTTTTCCCCCAAAGATCTTTAAAATCCGGGGAACTTGGCACATAATTTGGATTTGAAGGTTTTACTGTGTTTATTTGTTGCATTCCTTTTGAGCGGTTAAGTTCATTTTTAGTTTGTTTGTTTGAAAACAGCTGTGTAACGTAAATAAAAATCGTAAAAGATGTACATTTCAAAAAGGATGTGGGAAGCAGGTGGCTGATTTAACTGCAATCAATTTTGCCTAGAAAAGAACCTGCATATCGGTTTTCACAGCCAAGAATAACTCTAAAGATAAAGGTTCCCCTCGCACATACGTGCTAGTCGTTCCCGACTCTAGGGGGCAGTACTCATCTCCGTTTCAAAGCCGAAGAGGCAGCGCTGTCCGAAGATGTTCTCCGTGGTCATGTGGCCGGCATGACGAAACGCCGAAGGCGCACGGAACGCTGGTACCTTCCCCTATTTTTCTACGTGCATTTTTTACGTGTTTTCGAACTGCTAGGTTGGCAGAAGCTGGGACAAGTAACGGGAACTCACCCTGTTATGCAGTGCTAGGGATTCGAACTGCCGACCTTTCTGATCGACAAGCTCAGCATCTTGGCCACCGAGCCACCACGTCCCTTTTAGAATAACTCTACAATGCACAAAATAAACATGGTGGGTTACCGCAGTTTCAACCATCCAATGTTTGGGCTGCCTTAACCCATAACATGGTTGATTTATGGCTTAGCTCATTCCTAAAACCTGGTTCTTAAGGCTTTTAATCTTTGTTTTACTACTTGGAGCAATGTGTCAACCACCCAATTGTAGCAACACCTGGGCTAGCACAAGGTGGATTCTTGCGGTGAGTCTCTCTGGGCCTATCTTCTCCCGCCCCATCTGCCATTTCCTAGTTGGTAAATAGAAGAGCCTTCCCATCCCCCCTTTTATCTTCTAACCCCATCCTTTAATTTCTTAATTATCCGACATGAAAACCAAAGGGTGGGGTTTAAGATAATTGTTCAGAAGCCCAAGAATGTAACAACAGGGAATGCAGTTTAATTATTGAGCTGCTTCTGGTAGATAATCTCTCTTTCCATTTTGGTTTTCCAGCGTCCTTTGAAGCTCCAACTTTTGATCTACGCTCTGCCCAAAAAAGTTGCAAGAAGACAACGAAATTCCAAAAGGCTGATTGGTACAGGGGCTCCTCCAGGGGTGAAATTTAATTTTTTTTTACTACCTGTTCTATGGGTGTGGCTTGGTGGGTGTGGCAGGGGAAGGATACTGCAAAATCCCCATTCCCTCCCCACTCTGGGGGAAGGATACTGCAAAATCTCCATTCCCTCCCCACTCCAGGGGAAGGATACTGCAAAATCTCCATTCCCTCCCCACTCCAGGGGAAGGATACTGCNATCTCCGTTTCAAAGCCAAAGAGCCAGCGCTGTCCGAAGACGTCTCCGTGGTCATGTGGCCGGCATGACTCAACGCCGAAGGCCCACGGAACGCTATTACTTCCCCACCAAAGGTGGTTCCTATTTTTCTACTCGCATTTTTTACGTGCTCTCAAACTGCTAAGGTGGCAGAAGCTGGGACAAGTCACGGGAGCTCACTCCGTTATGCGGCGCTAGGGATTCGAACCGCCGACCTTTCTGGTCGACAAGCTCAGCGTCTTGGCCACTGAGCGATCCCGTTAAAAGGTGCCAGCTTAGACATTATTAGTCAACTTGGTGGCATCTTTGCCCTGGTTAGCTCCACCTGCTTCTCTCCAAAAAGACCCTTCTCTTCTCTTCGCCAGAAGCCCTGGGCTAATTCTGTCCCCTTTTGTAAGTTTGAAGAAGCTCAAAAGAAGGGAAGGGGGATGCGTAAAAAATCTCTCTCCTCCCTCCCAGGCTGTGATTTTCGCAGTGTAAAATCTCTCCCAAGGTTGATTCTAGCACTGTCTTTTAGAACCGGCTGCCGGGATTTCTTTAACAGCGCAGTGTGGTTCCCTTTGATCTGGGTCTCCCTTTTGAAGAGATTTCAAGAGACCGGGTGGGGTGGGGGGGAGCTCTTCCCTGCCTTTGCGTTTCCACTTGCTTGGCAGTGCTTGAAACGTTTCCTCCCCTCAATTCGTGTGTGCTCTTCCCTCCGTGGGTCGTTCTCTTCCCTTAATTTATTGTGGCACCGATAACCTATTTGTAACGCTGCTGTTTCTGTTCTCTCCCCTTCCCCCCCCCCCCACTTCCAGTATCCGCAGCTGAGCCAGGAGTCGGCTTCTCCATTTGTCTTCATCTGTTCTAACCCCCAGGAGATGGTTATTAAGTTTCCCATCAAGGGCAAACATAAACTCTGTAAGTAGCAGATCTCTATTCCTGAAGGAGGGAGGGGGCTGGCAAAATGACCCTGGGAGAGCAGCGGGGTCTCCTTCCTTCCTTCCTTCCTTCCTTCTCATCTCTCCTTCCTNGCGAGGCTCCCTTGTGGTCGGAAATTGAGGACTAGCTGTGTAACACAGACATTTTGTGGGCTCCAAGCCAGTTGCTACTCGGAGCACGTCAGGTATGTAGGTTAGTTTACTTCCTTAAACGTTGGGTTGCTTAATGGTATATTAACTGTCAGTGTGTTTATCTCATTTTGAGCTGATGTGACTGCCAGGGCTTGTGGCTTTCGAAAGGAAGCCCACGAAAAGTTGCCCGTATCCATGCCGCTCTTAGGGGAGGGTTTCAGTGGTGAGCTCCAGGCAGTTCAGCCTGGTACGGGCGTATTGGTGATAGCTGGGAGCAGAGCGGCCACCGTACCGTAACTGTGACTCGTTTCACCCACCCGCCCGCCCTCCTGACTGCTTTTTGAGGCAAACGGGCCAATTGCGAATGCGCGCACAGCGCCGCCGCAACCTCCGCCAAGCAGCTGAGTGTCACGGGGCAGTGGCGTGCGCAGTGCGTTTGCCCGATGAGGAAGCCCGGCCCCGTCGCAGCTACCGGTTGCAGCAAGATCCGGAACCCATCAGTGGTGGGCTTCGAAGATTTTAGCAAGGGGTTCTCTGCCCGGTTTTTATTTTATTTTTGTTTTATTTTATTTCTATTTGTCGGTCAGTACAAGGAAACAAGCATGAGAAACACACGGAAAAACGGCACAAATAAATGGATAAAAGAAGCAAAACATAGCTATAAACACGCAAAGAGAGTACATAAAAATGGGGACAGTGGCACGCTGGTGCGCTTATTCACGCTCCCTTAGAGACCTCTTAAGGAATGCATATTTTTTGCTGGGTGGGCGTGGCTTAGTCAGCCTGCACCACAGCGGGGGAGGAGGGCACCCTGGGCTCTGGAAGCTTTCCTTGAACCTCCGGGAGTGTGAAAACGGCCAGAGGCCGTCTGGAGACCGGAAACAGGCCCGTTCCCAAACTTTCAGGAGGCCCATTTTTTGGTTCACCGACAAAAGGGCGACCGACAAAAGCGTGCACGACGAAACCGCGGGTTCTAAACCGTGCCGACGAATGAGCGCTGAAGCGCGCTGACAGAAGCGCGGTCTAAACCTAACCCTAAACCTGACCCTAACCCTTACCTTAACTTAAATCACGCATCTGTCGGCGCGCTGTTGTCGNCCCTGAGTCCCTCCGGGGAATAGGGCGGCCTACAAATTGAATAAAATCCAAATCCAAAAGGGGAAGGCCGGCCGCGAAGGGTGTGGACTAAGGCCTGTTCTGTGCCTTCCCCACCTCACCACACTCTTCCTCCTGCAGGGAAATATCTGCCCACATTTACAGGGTGGCATATAAATCGAATAAACCTCAAACCTCTCTTTTTTCAGGGAAGCTGGATTCCAAGATTCACCAGGGAGCGAAGAAAGGGTTAATGAAGCAAAAAATAGCTGCCTGAGTTCCCAAAGCCTCCTCTTCCTCCTCTACTACAATCCCCATCGTACTCGCCCGACAGAACGGATCTCTGGCAGAGGTTTCAGGAGTGGCAGCCCCAGGAGGGCTGATGAGTAAGCACCAGCACTTAGGAACTCAAGGGTTTGAAGCAGAAGAAAACAAAGAAGGAAATTGCTGTTATCTTGCATCATTATAATCACAGACAATATATGTGTGTGTGTGTTGTGTGTGTGCGCTGTGTTGTTTGTGACCAAAGGGGAGTCCTTGGAGAGGGTGGCATTAGGCCTCAGTATCTTCCCCCAGGGCTTGGAGGGATTATCTTAGATTGGCTGGATACTTGGGGTCAGGGGTGGGCTTCAAAAATTTTAGCAAGGGGTTCTCTGCCCGGTTGCTAGGCGGGTGTGGCCATGGTGGGCATGGCCTAGTTGGAATCCTCTACCATAGCAGGGAGGAGGGGGGTGTTTTTGCCCTCCCCAGGCTCTGGAGGCTCCGGGAGGGCAAAAATGGCCTCCCCAGGCTCTGGAGGACCTCTGGAGCCTCCAGAGCCTGGGGAAGTTCCCGAACTTCCGGTAAGCCCGTTTTGTGCCCTCCTCAAACCTTCATGTGCGCCCTGCACTTATCTGCATCCAAAACGCGCCATGTGGGGCAGTGGTGAGGTTTGATTTATTTTACGGTTCGTGTGCACGCACGCACACATGCGCAGAAGCATCCGGGCAGGTAGGCGGAGCTTCCCGCCACCACTACCAGTTTGCCCGATCTGGGGCGAACCAGAACAAACCCACCTCTGGTGTGGGAGCTCCTGGGAGGGGAAGGGAGGGGTGGGCGGGGCCAGCCAGTAGTGGGATTTGGGAGTTCTCTGAACTGCACAGAATCTTAGCTAGAGGTTGTCCCGAGCCCCTGCGAACCCCCCGCAGCCCCACCATTGCTTGGGGTCCTCTTCAGGTGACAGCTTCCCCCCTTTTCCTAACCCTAACTCCCTAGCCATTTTGGCTGGAGAATTCTGGGAGTTGAAGTCCACAGGCCTTAAAAGTTGCCAAGGTTAGATCCCTCGAATTGCAACAGCTGAAGAGCATGGACTTGGGAAGGCTTCGGGAGTTCATGCGCTAAAAATTTACGGACAGGGAATTTTTCACCTGCTTCTCTGCCTTATTTGGCTTCCTCTTTGACACCATCATCTTCCTTCCTTTCTTGCCGGGAAGCCAGTTTGCCAAGCGAACCACATCATGGCTCACAACAGCACCTGGCTTGGGAAAGATGTGCCAGAATTGTACAAAGCACCAGCCAGAATTGCTTGCCGAGCAACATAGTCCAGTTTGCCTTTCTACTAACCGTATTTTTCGGAGTATAAGACGCACCCTTTTCCCTCAAAAAANTGTAACAACAGAGTCAGGTAGGGCATTCCAGGCGTGGACCACTCTGTTGCTGAAGTCGCATTTTCTGCAATCGAGTTTGGAGCGGTTTACCTTGAGTTTGTATCGATTGTTTGCCCGTGTATTATTGAGGTTGAAGCTGACAGGTAGGACATTGTAGCGGACAATTTTGTGTACTACGCTCAGGTCAGACCGCCGGCGGCGCAGTTCCAGGTTGTTTCTTGCCTGGAAACTTTCTGACAATCCGAGCAGGGTGCCTTCTAGAAACACCACCAACCCCTCTCCCTCCCTCCTAACCCTGAATACCAGCAAGTCCTCGACGTACGATCACAACGGAGCCCCCAAGTTTTGTTCCCTGAGTGAGGCATTTCGTTCGGCGACTTTCGCCCCGTTTTGCGACCTTCCTTGCCATCGTTGTTAAGGAGATCGCTGCCGTGGTTAAGTCAGTCCCCCCAGGGCTTGAGGGAATCTGGCTTCCCCCGTTGACTTTGCTCGTCACGAGGTGGCAGACGGGGATCCCTTAACACACGGACACGGACACTGCGACGGTCATAAAGGTGAGTCAGTTCCCACGCGTTTGAATTACGATCAGGGGATCAATGGTCGTAAGAGTGAAAAAAGCGGACGTAAGTCCCCTTTTTCAATGCTGTTGTAACTTCGAATGGCCACTAAATGAACCTTTGCAAATCAGGGGGGTTATTTATAAAAACGAAAGGTGGTGGGATATTAATAAATAAAACCAGTCACGCATTTCGGTTGAGAGATGATAGGCCCTGGGGGTTCTTACCTTTCACACAGCTGGGTGCAGCAGCCATTTTGCCGCGAGGGAACGGCGGCTGAGAGAGAGAGAGAGATTCTCGTGACCACAAAACCAGCTGGGGGATTTCCCACTTCCCAGGTGCCGTATTTAGTCAAGAAAAACCCGCTATCTGTGGGGGGAGGGGGGACCCTGGCTGCACCTGCCGCAGTGGGAGCTTGCATGGACTTTGCTACCTTTGATGGAGGCTTAGATTTCGGCTTCTCTGTGCTTGGGTGGTGCCTCTCCGGATTGGAGAATAGGATGTGCGCTGTAATTGCAAGGGGAGCATAAACAACGGAGCTACCTCGGGGAAATTGGAGGATTTGGGAAAACATAAAGGTAAAGATTCCCCTCGCAGATACGTGCTAGTCGTTCCCGACTTTAGGGGGCGGTGCTCATCTCCGTTTCAAAGCCAAAGAGCCAGCGCTGTCCGAAGACGTCTCCGTGGTCATGTGGCCGGCATGACTCAACGCCGAAGGTGCATGGAACACTGTTCGCTTCCCACCAAAGGTGGTTCCTATGTTTTCTACTTGCATTTTTCACGTGCTTTTGAACTGCTAGGTTGGCAGAAGCTGGGACAAGTCACGGGAGAGCAGCGGGGTCTCCTTCCTTCCTTCCTTCCTTCCTTCC